CCAGGAAGAACACTGCTCTGCCACCCACCACCTGTCCGTTATCCATCCCGGCTCCTGGGGCAGCTGCTTTTACCTGGACCACGGCTGTGGACATCTCCGGCCTGGCCCTGTGAGGACCGACTTTGCAGCTGTCAGGCAACCAGATGCAAACACAGGTTTTGTCCTCACATGGCTGGGTCTTGCCTGGATGGTCCGAGCTCTCCCGGTCTCCCCCACCGTGGTCAGCCGCAGGAAACCCGGTCCCTCTGCGGGGAGCCGCCGAGGAGCCCCCGGAGCCCTCTCCCTCTGGCTGTGGTCACACAGCTGTGCGGCTGGGGCCTCGGTGACTCCCTCCTCGGTGAGGCCAGCCCTGGACGAGGCCTCTGGAAGCACAGCGGCCCTATAGTTTCCTTTCCACCCTACAGTTTCTCAGGCGCAAGTGTTGAGAGGTGTCGCTGGCCCCTGACACTGGTGGCCAGGTGCCAGGAGGGAGAGGTGACCCTGGGAAGGGGTGTGGATTCCTCCCAAGGTCGGGTCCGAGCAAGGGGACCTATTTGTATGTCCAGGGTGGGGGCGGGGGCAGTGTACTCTTTCAGGAGTCTTGTCTTATGTTTTCCATATATACAAAATTTATATATGCTAAATTGAAATTGTATTTATATTTTGTCTTTTAATATATTAAATATATTTTAAAATTTATTTTTATATATTGTGTTTTTCATTTATATAAAATAGTATAGTTGATGGCAAAAATGTATTTAGAGCTTGCCTTTTAAATATTTTATATGTTGTGTTTTTTTGTACATACAAAGCAGCACAGAGGAAAGATGCTATACAGTTGAGACAGAATGTGTTAAACAGGGCAGATTTCAAGGTGGTCGCCGAGTCTGTGTTCATGTATGTGTATATCTGCGGAGTTACCACTCAGATCCCTCCGGCCCCCTGAGAGGTCCTCTCTATTCGGGCTTCTTCCACCATAGATTACTTTGCCTTTTTTCAGAACCTCACAAAATGGAATCGGGCAGTGCGTTCTCTGTCCTGGGTGACTTGTTTCACTCAGCACCCCTTTTCACGGCTGCGTAGTATTCCACTGGCCGTCTGTATTTCGGCCTCTGATCGTCTGTTGACAGAGTCTGGGTAGTTCTGTTACAGAACAGCAGCTGGGGTTTGCCCAGCCACCACCCTTGAGGCAAAACTTCAGAGGGAAAGCCGTGGTGATAAAGGAAAGCAGTCTTTATTCAAAAGCTGCACAATTTTGGAATAACAGCTTCCGTTAGTCACTTAAGCCTATCAATTAAGGCTAAACTCTTTAACTCTTTTAGTCTCAGCTTTAATCACTTAAGTCTATCAATTAAGGCTGAACTCTAACACCAGAGTTCTCCTAGCATTCCCCTGTTAATTTTTAATTATCTTATTTCTATACCAGGGGTATCAAACTCATTTTCACTGGGGGCCACATCAGCCTCCAGGTGGCCTTCAAAGGACCGAATGTAGTTTTAGGACTGTATAAATGTAACTACTTCTTAACCAGGGGCAAGGAGCTCAGCGCTGCCTCTGGGTAGAAACAAGGGGGAGGGCTGGATTTGGCCCTCAGGCCTTGTGTTGGCCACCTCTGTTCTATAGGGTTTATTTCCAAACTAAGACAACATGAGATACAAAAGCTACACAATTCTGGAAGAACGGCAGGCTTCTGCCTCAGAGCCTCTTCCCTCTAGAACACCCAAAGAAGAACACCCACCCTCTGCCAGGCCAGCCTGACCCTAGACTGAACCCGGAGTTCCTTCCCATCCAAAATACAGCCGCTGGGAAAGACAGGCGGCTGCAGCCTGGTCGCCCAGGCGTCCTGGAGGAAGAAGAGACCTAGAGCCAGACAGAACCCACCAAGGAGCCGGAGAGCTCGAGAGCCTGAGGTCAGCGAGCCAGCCTCCTTTTTATTGGTGGAGCTCAGGGGGGCATTCAGCTCAGCCAATCCTGTCCTAGGCTGCTTACCGCAGCCTGGGCAAACTCCTCCCATGATCCCTCCTACTTATCCTCAGTGAGCCAATCAGAGCTCTGTATCAGTTCCAAGCCTTGGACCATGCAGATACTGAGACTGGCTGCTCCTCGTGGGGAGGATCTGTGAGCTCGGGGAAGGAGACCGTCATCGAGAAGTGAGCAGTGTGGGTCAGAGGGTAGATGAAGCCGGCTTGCTCTTCCGGAAACTTCCATCAGAGCCCACACCCAACCCTGGGCGACAGTGCCTGCTGTGTCCAATCCTTGCCAGCAGTCGCTTTGATTCAAGTTAAAAAGGTGCCCTAAAAGAAAAAGGGCATCTCACTCTGATTTGTTTTTTTAAGTTACTTTTAAAAAGCTTCATGTCTTTTCTTCCTCTCTCTTCCTTTGGCGAGCCGCAGCCAGGAGGGAGGCTGAGCGTCACCCTTGGATTCACTTGCCTTCGGTACACTTGCTGCGTAAGAATTGACCACGTATTTCACTCGAACCCTTTACCACTTTCCATTTCATCACTCCTCTTTTTTTACATCTGTGAACAATCTTTGTACGTCAGAGAATCTGGGGCGTTGCAATGGAAGGGCATAGAAAGGAAATGGTTGATTTGATAGCTGCAGCAAGTGGGCCGTTCTGAGGCCGGTTTGGAAGAATGAGCTCAGCTAGGGAATGAGGCTGCTTCTTGGCCTGTGGGCCTCCGCCACACAACAGCAACGCTGGTAGTTCGATGGTGGTTCACACTTTGGAGGGAGGCAAGCCCGGAACTGGAAGGCCACGGTGCTTCTCCGCCTTCTTTCCCAGTGGGTGGAGGGCCCGCCCACTTCTGCCCCTCGGGCTTGCTCTCCAGCCTGGTGGGGCCTCAGCAACCTTCCTAAGCAAAAGTTCCCCCTGGTTCGCAGTGACCTGAGCTGATGTGCATTGACACCGTGTCCTGATGAGGTTTTGTCTGGGCTTTGAAGGTGGAGAGGGAGCTGGGGTGATGAGGGGGAGTGAGGAAGGCTGGGATGGTGGGCCAGGAAGATTCACATAAATGGAAAGATGCGGTAATGAAGCAAGGCATCCATGGGCCATGGTGGCGGGTCCTGTCCCCGTTTGTATCAGGGCCAGGCCGTGTTGCAGTAGAACAAAATCCAGTGCTTGGGCTTGAGGTTGGGAAGCCCCAGAACCTCCAAGTTCTTGAGCAGACAACCGGATGGGGGGTCCTCCGGCCGGGTACTAGTGCCCCTGGTGAGAACCATGAAAAAGGGTATCTCAGGGATGAGAACAACCGAAGAGGGGAAGCGGAAGGTTTGAGAAGAGCACCCCCACCTCAGACAACCTAGAGGCTGCGGCCAGGGCTGAGCACCCTCCAGTCTGAGGGCAGACTGGACCCCGCAGGGAGGCGGTTGGAGGCGTCCCTCCCAGCCAAACCCCTGGGAAGGGATGGACCCAGCCCTGGGGTTTGGGACAATGAGACAGACGAGGGGACGAGTTATCACCTTCGATAGGATATTTTCGTCCTGAGCTCCAGAGGGACCTGCCTATTGCTGGCCACGAAGGCGGGTGTGGAGGAGGCTGTCTGCAGAGCCTGGAGACATGGGGAAGGGTTAGGACCCTCTCCCCCAACCTCAGAGAGACAGGGTTAGGGGTCAGCCTGGGCCCAGCTTCCGCTGCCCACTGCTCCCCTGGCTGCAAGTCTCGGGAGGCTGGGGGAGGGGGAGAAATAGAGAATGTCCCTGAACGACCACCAGCATGTTAGGGTGGTCGGCGACACGGGCTGTGAGGAAATTCACGAGGAGAAGCCAGTGCAGAGAGTCAAGTTTTATTCACTCTCCCAGGGAGGAGAGGGGCTGGTGTAGGGACAGACGCCAGCCCTGAGGGGCAAGGTGGAGCTTTGAGCTTTTATTGGGTTACAATTGGATTAGAAAAGGGTGGGGGTTCTGCTGTCCTGGGGCCCCTGGGCTGCTGGGGCATCGGAATCAGAGGCTGCAGCTTGCTCCCCTGTTGTCTTCTGCCTGGGCCTCTCGGAGGCGTTAGTCCTGTTCTGCTCTCGCTTTCCAGTAATTCCAGACCTGGGGACAAATGCTCATAAGAGTAAAAGGGCGTCGTGTTTAACGAGGTCACAGGCCTGCTGGGCGGACAGTGGCACGAAAGTGAATGGCGTCCCTTCAGTCATTTCATTTAAAAGAGAAGATCTTTGGCCCTGGCTGGTGTGGTTGAGAGGACTGAGCACCAGCCTGCAAACCGAAAGGTCGCCTGTTCCATTCCCAGTCAGGGCACATGCCTGGGTTGCAGGCCAGGTCCCCAGTAGGGGGCGTGCGAGAGGCAACTACACATTGATGTTTCTCTTCCTCCCTTCCTCTCTAAGAATAAATAAATAAAATCTTTAGAATAGAACAAAAAGAAAGGAGATCTCTGTAGAGATGCCCAAGGCACATGTCTCATGACACCGGTGGATATACCACATTTTGCTGTGTATGATGTGTACCCACATTTTTGGCCCAAACTTTAAGGAAAAAAACAATTTTTTTTAAATTTTGAATTTAATTTTTTACTTACTGATATTTAGAAACAAAACCGATGATCATATTCCAGGGTATTAGTTTGCAAGGATATCGTTATTGCTTTCCAGAGTTACACTTTTAAGGCATAAGCATGAGTAAAAGAATCAAAAACATTTATGTAGGTATGGAATTAGTATTACCCATGTATAATGCGCATCCTATTTTTCCCTGAAAAAATCTGGGCAGAAAGTGCACATTATACACGGCAAAATACGGTAAGTGTTAGGTCTTCAAACTGGATCAAAATATGAAATCGAGCGAAGCCGAGGGCTTGTGGGGTAGAAAAGGGAAGGGAGCGGAGGAGGGAGGCGCCCGTTCTTCACGTTCGAGGCGCTGCACTATTAATCTAGGCCAGAAGGGGGCATTGGTACTGCGGCAATGGGAAAAGAGACCGCCGGGAGATGGCTTGACCCTTTGCGGACACCGTACGGGGCCTCCTGGAGGGGGGCGGGGGGAAGGTTCCACTGCCCGGAAACGGAAGTTTAATTTTTGCGTCCTTTTCGTTTATTGCCGCCGGCTGTCAATGCCTCTTGGGTGGTACACGGGGAATAGGGGAGGGTAATACGAAGTAATCCACGGCCGGATGAAATTGGCAGAACCTCGCCTGGGTAGAGGGTGCGGGGAAGGAGGACGGAGTGCTGTGGAGGCCGGCATTTCAGGGGGTCGGGGAGGGAACGCGGGGGTCGCTGTTGGTGCCCGCGCTCTGCGGACGCCGACGTCTGGCTTCCCCACAGGTGCCCGGCCTCGTAGCCAAGGTGCGCGGGGGCCTTGCCTGGGACCTTCTCCGGGACGCGCCGGGCCCCGGGGCGAGGGCAGCAGCGACTTTGCGAGGGTCTCCGGGGGCCCGGGAGAGGCCGGCGGACGTGCCCGTCGCCAGAAAGTGCTTGATTCTCAGCGCATTCCCGTGTCCTTTGTTTTGCAGCCTCGCAAACCTGCGGAAACCAAGGACTCCCCACTCCCAGCCAGGCGGAAGGAGGCTGGATGTGAGTGGTCGCGCCGGCGTGAGCCGGTGGGTGGAGCGGCCTCAAAATTTGTTGGCTGGAGTGTTATCCTCCTTAACTAATGCTAAACGTTTTGAAAACCGTCACGAGTGAATTCGTTTTGCTTCGTCGTGGTTTGAGTTTGGTGCCGTGACTAGCGGTCTTGCTGGGCGAAGCTGCGGAGACGCGTGCCCCGCCAGCCTGGAGTCCGAGCCTCGGGCTCCGTTCTGGGCCGAGCGCGGACCCTGCTCGCGGTGACCTTGCCTTACTGATTATTTCACGGAGGGGATGCATCGGGAACGTAAGGCCGCGGACCCAGAGGTGGTAGGCCCGTCCACGGGCCAGTGTCTCCTCGTGTCTGCACCGAGCAGGGCAGGGGGCCAACAGGGCTCTCACTTTTCACGAGACAGACTTCGAGTTCACACGTTGTGTTAGCCCCGAGGCCTCCCGTTTCTGCTACACCAGAGCTCCCTTTCTCTCGCAGCTGGGTCACCAAGAGGAAGGCAGGTGGTCCTTGTGCACGGGCGGGGCTGAGGCCCTGACCCTCGGATGCTCCTTGTCTGCAGTGGGATGCAACGGTGGTGTGGGGGAGGGGGCCTTAGATTCACAGGAAGGGAACAATCTTGCTTATGTCCTTGAGATTCAAGCTACAAACCACAGTGAATTATCACCAAAAGCAAAACAAACAAAAAAAATTGATTAAGTAGGTTCTTTTCCAGATGGAAAGAATTTTGGCCACGGAGCCTGACCTCCTCCCCACTCAGGGCACTGGAGTGGTCGGGTCCTCCCCGTGCCCCAAGGCCCCCATCTGTACCCTCCTGCAGTGTGGGGCGGAGGGGCGACCCTGAGGTCAGGGCCAGAGGTCCAGCCCCTTGCCAGCCCTCCTGGGAACTTCGTGGCAGACGTAGGGACATTCGCACCTTGTCACCCCCTCACCCCCCTCCAGTGGCTTCCTGGATGGATGTTGGGGACCTCAGGAAAGCGCATGTGGTGCTCACTCGCGGGATGAGAGGTGTGGACTCAGTGGCCACGTTGACCATCCATTCTAGGGGTGCAGGCCCCAGGGTGCTGCTCGGCCCCTGAAGTAATGCTGCAGGGTCCGGGTGCGGAGGGCCAAGGGACCCCTGGCCCTCTGGTCACAGGAGGAGTCGCCCCAGCCCACTGCGCAGTTGCAGACGGGGCGCCACCTGCTGTGGTTGCTACCTGTGAGTGGCCACACGGGGGCAGGGCTGGGATGGCTTCCACGCACACATCTTCCCACACTGGGGTCGAGAGTGAGCAGGGTGCGCGGATGGCTGTGCACTGTCTGTACTCAGGGCGCGCATGACCGGGACACGGAGTGGTGTGTGAGCATGGTGCTTGAGGCGTGTGTGTTGGGTCGGTATGTGTGGCGAGTGTGTTTGTGTGTTCATGGTGTGTGTGTGTGGGGAATGTGCTGTGCCACATGTGAGATGAGTGCAGAGTTGCAGTGTGAGTGTGCCATGGGTGGGGCTCTGTGTCCGGTCCCTCCGGAGCCGTCCCGTCCCCCCCACCCCGTCAGGGGTCAGAGGACTTCACAGAACCTCTGGCCACTGGCGCCAGCTGAGAGTGGGTAACCATGGCAACAGATGCTCCTGCAGCTCCGGGAAGCAGGGCTGGGGGTGTGTGCTGGGCACCCCAGGACTGTGAGCTTGGGAGAGGGGAAGTGCATGGTGAGGAACCCAGTCTGAGTTCAGGAGGAGCACTGCCCTCCTTGGTCCCTGCTGCTTGGCCAGGTTGTCACTGGGGTCCTTCGTAGGCCTGGGGCCCAAAGATTCCTGCTGTCCGCACGCCCCCATCCATGCACGTGCAAAGCAAAGAACCTCCTGCTGCTGGGTGTGGAGGTGCTGCCAGTGCCCTTAGGGGCCCGATCAGAGGGGGACTGTCTGTTCCGAAGAGGCCTGGGCTGAGACCCACTGCTGGGACTTGGGACAAGTGAACAGACTGCAAGATCAGAGGGAGCCCGCGGAGGGGAGAGGACCTGGGTCAGGAGCTCGCCGGGCGCTCGGGAGAAGAGGCTGGACTGGGTCGGCACATAGCCCTCTGCAGGAAAGGGCTGGCCCAGCGCCTCCAGGCTGGAACTTGGACATACCCGAGCTCCCTTCCCACCTCCGTCTGAGCCAGTGGTGGATGACACACCTCTGTTCTTTCCCAGGGTAACATGTGGGCTATACCAGTCTTCTTCCTGTGTTTCATTCATTCATGTGTTCCCTCATTCACGCACACTCACGCATGCACTCACGTGTTCATGGCCTTTATCAGGTGTGATGTTTCTCCAGAGCATGCCAGATGGCAGAAGCAGAGCTACCTGGGAACTGGTCTGAAGGTAAGCCCTGATGACTCAGTGCACACATGTTCCCTACTGTGTGGGCTGGACCTGACAGCGCCCCTGGCCTGGCCACAGAGTCCCCTCTGTGAGGCCAGTCGATGCCCGTTCTCTCTGGACCGTTCTCCAGGGGTGTGTTTTATCCCCAGACACGCACACACCCTTTTCTCCCTTCCTCACCAACGGCAGTTGACTATTTGCTCTATTTCCACCTATGTTGTTTTGCTGAACAGTGTGGCTTAGAGACGCTGGTTTCCCGTCGTTTCAGGAACAGCCTTCCCTTCCCAGCCCTTTTTTCTTTTCACACACAGCCCTCCCTGGTGGTCCGCCCAGGGCCTATTCCCTGTCCCACCGCCCCCACCCCATGCTCCCCAACCAGAACGAGTGGGTTTGTTTTCGACCTAAGCAATCGGGTGTTTATTATACACTGGGGCCACCGGGTGAGACTGAAGGAAGCCGGCAGGATTTAGAGAGAGTGGCACCCACGGTGGCCAGGGTGGCTTCATGACCACAAGGCTTGTCCTTTATTCCCGTCAGCGTGCTTCCCGGCCAGAGCTCGAGGGGCAAAGCCTGCCCCCTGCCTGCCCTGGCCCCCCTCCCAGACTGGAGGCCCTGGTAGGAGGGCAGGGCACCAGCACTGGACCCTCCCGCAGGGGGAGAGGGCGGGGCAGGGCTGGAAGGATGCTTGAGGGGGTAGGTGTGTGTTTGCAGAACCCAAACTCGGCTGCACCGCCAGCACAGTGGTGACCGAGCATGGGCTGGGGCTGTGGGGTCACTGAGGCAGCGGGCCAAGCGCTGTCCCTGGTCGCTGGAGGACAAGGTCCCTGGTGTCCAGTCTATCACAGCGGGAGGGCAGGCTCAGGGTTTCACAGGCAGCTTCTGATGCTTCCTGGTGGGCCTGGAAGAGCCACTGCGGGTTGGGCTGGGCAGAGGGCGGGGCTCAAGGGTGGGTCTGGGAGGAGGTAGGGACTTTGGCAGCTGGGGCATGGTGGGCAGTGAGCAGCTCGGTGACCCAACTCCTCTCCAGCTGTGCCGCCCCGGCCCCGACCTCCTTGCATCTCAGTAAGGGGCTCCGTCTTCCCCGTCCAGCCCTGAAAGGTCCCTTGTGTCTGTGCTCTGTCCCTTCTTCACCCTGCCACCAAGATGTTGGGCCCCCAGCTCAGAGTGACCTCCCAACTGTCCGAACCTGCTCTGTTCCCAAGCTCCTGCCCAAGCACCTCCGTTCATTTAACTTTCCACATCAGACTGTGGCACGCCCCCGTGTCACCTCAGTGGGGCTGCCCCCTGCCCAGAGGGCCGCCTCCCCACTCAGTCCCCTGGCAAGCGTGCCCTGCCCCCGCCTTTGCTCACTGAGTACACCCCGCTTCTCTCCCGTCCAGAGCCCCCAGCAGCCCCCCCCCAGGGGCCCCCCACTTGCCCTTCCTGCCTGGACTTTTATCCCCAGGGCTTGGCGGGCAGGCTCCTCATCCTGCAGGGCTCACCCCAAATCCGAGTCCTCAGAGAGCCCGCCCACCCCCACCCCTGTCTACAGCCCAGTCCTCGATGCTTCTGTCTCCTGTGTCTTATGTGCTCTCCGGGCCCCTAACGGCAGCCCCGGGGCTCTGGCCGGGCCCTGGTTCACTGTGTGCCCGCAGACCCGGGTGAGAGCCCAGCCGAGACCCAGCTGAGACCCGGGTGAGAGCACGAGCAGGCCTCCGCTGGGCACCGCTGGAAAGAACGACGGGCTCCTCCTCCGGCCAGAGGCTGGGACACCACAGGGCAGATGGAGGGGGCCTGTCCTCAGCTCCTAGGCAGTCCTAGGAGCTGGCTCCCCTAGTATTCCAGGAACCCCGCCCACCGCAGCTTCTGGATTGTTCTCTGGTTGTCATGCCTGAGGAGAGAGGCTCAAAGGGGCTGCCAGGTCTGGGACTGGCTCTTCTTGGGGGGGGCAGGACCCAGGTCCGTGGGGCTTGAATAGGCGCACCCTCCCTCCTCCTCCTGGGGCTCTGACCTTGAGCACTGGGGTGTTATGCGACCTTGGCCAGAAGCACTGCGGCCAGCAGCATCCCCGCTGTCAGGGCGGGGCAGCCCCCAGGCAGGAGGGCAGGGCCTAAGGAAGGAAAGGCGGAAGGCGGGGGACGTGGGGGCGTGTCACTCACCCCCATTCCTCGAGGGTGGGCGAGGAGCACAGGACTGCCCCTGCGACCCCCCGAGTTCATGTCTCAGCACCCCTCCCCATTCCCCTGCCCCAGACACAGGCCCCACCTGGTCCAGCTCCCAGGCCACCTTTGCCCCTGAGGTGGGTCAGGGTGGGGAGGGGGAGGGTGGCAGAAGATGACTCCAGGAAGGACCGACCCCCTCAAGTGACCACATGGGAGCCCGGGTTCCATGGGACCAGGAGCCCAAAGGGGGGGGTGTCTCCCAAAAGACTTTTCCCCGGGGCAGACCACCCACCCCCTGGCCCTCAGTCTCCGTCATAAACGTGCCCAGGCCTACCTGTTCTCCCTCCTGCACTGGTAACACACGACGTGCTCTGCGTGGTTCCAGGCGCGGAGAGCGTGCTAGGGACTCCCGATGTTCCTGGAAGCCAGGGACAGGGAGAGAGTAGGCAGCCCCTGTAGCCGCAGGGGCGCGCCAACCCCAGTGGCGCAGGCACCTTTACCTGCAGCCACCTGGTGGCGGGCGGAGGGCTGCACCTCACCTGCCTGGGGTGTGGGTGACGGGGTGCTGGCGGCCTCGGGCGTGAGCGTGGGCAGCAGGGTACTGAGGACCCCATCGTTGGCCTCGGGCACGATGTCCAGCAGCCTGCACAGCAGCTCGTACACGTGGACGCTCTCGAAGGGCTCCACCTGCAGGCCCTTCCTGAAGCTGGGGCCCACGGCGCGGAAGATGGTCTTCATGTCCATGTCCCCGTTGTCGAAGCCGTGCTCCCCGTTGTTGAACTGCACGTTCACTCTCTGTGGGGGCGGCAGGGGCGGGGCGTCGGAGTGTGCGCGGGCTCCGCCCACCGCCCTCTCTTTTCTGCGCCAGCAGCAGGGCAGAGGCTTCCCGAGGGAGTGCGCACAGGGGTGGGGGGGCGGTTGGGGCACAGCACGGACACTGAGCCTCCAGTGCCCTGCATTCTGAGCCTCAACAGCTCAGTAGCCCATGAGAGCCCCTCTGAAGACTTGGGGACAGGAACAGGGGACCCAGTAAATGGCGGTGGGGGGTGGAGGTGGCCACCCCCAGGCAGCAGCCGGCCTGCCCACCCCCCTCCGTGACCGCCTGTCTCCTCAGCACTTTCTCCCCGGGGCCCCCCTCCCGTCTTGCCTCCCCTTCAGCCCTTCCCGGGCCCTCAGCCTGTGGGGGACCGGGCCCTTGGTGCTGCCTGTCTCTGTCACTCTAGTGACTGATCTTCTCATACTTGTGCTGCTGGTGCACACACATGCAAACATGTGCACGGACACATGCACACACACGTGTGTGCCCACATACAGGCACACGCACGCACGCTCCCAGTGCATGGTGGTGACCCTGTCCCTTCGGTGGTCAGTGCCCCTCGAATCGGGGACTGGCCAGAAACGAGGGTGCCCCTCACAGGGCGGAGGGAGACCCAGCAGCCCCGAGTCCCGCAGGCGGCTCAGCTCACCCCGTGGATGACGTAGCCGGGGTCGCTGTACATGAGCAGGGGCGTGACCCTGGGGTTGTTGGCGTAGTGGAAGGACTTAGGGAAGGACTCCTTCTTGTAGACGTGCAGTCTGGGGTGGGCGTCCTTGAGGGCCCCGTAGACGGCCTCCAGCCTCCCCTCCTTGGGGAGCAGCATCCCGTTGGGGCCGTAGTCCAGCAGCTCGAACTCGATGTCCTTGAAGGTGAAGTTGGGGAACTTGTGCAGCTCCACCAGGTCGCTGGCCTTCTTGTTGACGGTGTTCATGCCGTGGTCGGACGTGACAATGAGGTTGAGGCTGCCCTCCAGGCCGCTGCGCCCGATGCTGTCCCGGAGGTAGCCCACCGTCCTGTCCACCTGCATCACCATGTCCCTCCTCTGCTGGGAGTCGGGGCCGTACCTGTGGCCCGTGGAGTCCGGCTCCCCGAAGTAGAGCGTGACCAGGTCCAGGCCCTCCTCTGTGAACCACCTCATCACGGTGTCGATGTTGGCTCTCCACTCTGTCTCGTTCCTGTAGTTGTGCAGGGCACCCTCCTTCCGGCTCAGCGTCACGGCCGTGCCTTGGTAGGTGACGTTCCCGCCAGGGTAGAAGAAGGAGCCGGTCCTCAGGCCCTGGGGGGAAGGCGGCGTTGACGCTGGCACTTGACCCGGGATTGCCGGCACATGGCCCCTCCGGCCTGGCCTCTGTCTGCCCCCGACCCCACCCATCCCGGCTCCGGACCGCTGCCACGGGCCTTTTTACTTCTTCTTATTACTATTAGTTTTACAAGATTGTGTTTATTTACTATTTGAGAGAGGGGAAAGGAGGGACAGAGGGAGAGAAACATCGATGTGAGAAACACCAACCAGTTGCCTCTTACACGCCCCCAACTTGGGAGCCGGCCCACAACCCAGGCATGTGTCCAGACCGGGAATTGAACCAGTGACCCTATGGTTTACAGGCAGGCACTCAATCTACCGAGCCACACCAGCCAGGGGAAAAGAGTTCTATAGCTCTTATCTGGGGCCAATAACAATTTTATAGAGGAGAGGGCAGGCGTGCAGTGGACTCAGCACTAAGGAGATAAGGATGGACAAGTGTCCTCAGATGCTCCGAGTCCTCGGGGCCCCGGGTCTCTGCCCTGAGGCTGAGATGGCCGGGGAGCACCGCCCCCCTTTCCTGGCTGCAGCCCGGCCTCTCCCTGCCGTGTGCACACCCAGGCCAGGAAGCCCCCGGAACGCTGCAGGATGGTGGAATTCCTGGGCTGACAGGGCACCCACCTCCTATTTCCTCTTTGTCCTGAGAATTTACCTGCCCAGCCCCGAGGGAGCTGCAGGAGGGGGATGGACAGAGCCGTCTCCTCCTTCCCTGCCTCGTTGTGGAGTGGGGTTCCTTCCCCCGTACAGCTCCCCTCCCCAGCACCGAAGGGCCCAAAGGTGTGGTTTTCTCTCCAGCTGGGCAGAGGGCCAGCGCTGCTGGTCCCTGGGCTCCAGGGAGGACCCGGCAGGGCCGTGGAGCGGTCGGCAGGTCCTGGTGATTGCTCAGCACCCCCTGACCCAGGGCCGCACTTCCCTGGGCTCTGTGCCAGGGCTCCTGGGAGCGGGCCTGCCTCGGGGCTCAGTGGTCACGGCCTGTCCCCTCCCCTGTCCCCACTGCCGTCCGAGGGGGTGCGGAGGCGGCTTTACCTGCCTCTGGGCCGTGATCCAGATGGGCACGCTGCCGTTGTCCCACCACCTCTGGATGCCCAGCGTGGCGTGGTAGGGCAGCTTCACCTTGGTGGTGGTGTTGTAGAACATGTTGTGGACCACGCCGTGGTTCTCAATGTACTTGCCTGTGGGGAGGGGCGGCAGAGGGGACTCGGGGCGGGCTTTGTCGCACACGGTCGCAGCCCACGCTCTCCGCCCTGCTGCTCACGGTGTGCGGGTGCAGGCATGCACGTGCTCGGGTCACAGGCAGCCTCGCTGGTTTTAGCAAAAGGCTGGCGCGACCAGGCAGCCCTCAGGAGGGGACTAAGGAAATAAGTTACCATCCAGCTGGGAATTAGCATCCAAGGTCAGCACTGAAATAAGCCAAGGCGAGGTCTGCGAGGTGTCTTTTTAAATTTGTGTTTTCCTTGGGAAACTCACACATGCGAGTTCAGAAGATACAAGAGGAGAGGCCATGCGGTGGATGTCCTCTGCCTGTCCCTGCCCATTTGTGACATGTTAAGTGAAATGGTGATGTGCAGAAAGGACAGCAGGTGCCGACAGTGGTGTGTGTGGGGCCGTCCGGGGCCCGTGAGGATGAGCCGTCTGCACGGAATGGCGTCCTGCAAAGCCACGGCCCCCAGCGTCTCAGAACCTGGTCTTGTTTGCAAATAAGGTCGTCGCAGATGTGGTAGGCGACCTTACGAGGAGGGCCTTCTGGATGGGGGGCCTTCAACCCAGTGACCGTGCTTCTTATAAGAAAAAGAGATTCCCCTGGTCGGGCCCACAGCTGGGGTGCGTGCTGGTCCCCCCCACCTGCCCATTTGGGGCGAGAGAGGCAACCTATTGCTGTTTCTCCCCCTCTCTCTCTTTCTACCTTCCCCTCTCTTTAAACGTAAATAAATAAAAGCTTTAATAAAAAAAGGAAGAGGGCACAGGGGAGGTGGCCATGTGACGAAGGTGCAGGGGTTGCAGAGATGAGCCCCTAAGCCGAGGGCCAGCCGGGCGGCTGAGGCTGGGAGAGGCAGGACCAGCCTCAGTCTGGAGTCTTGTTCACGGGCAGCTGGGGGTGGGCGGGACGAGCCCCTGAGACCGCAGGAGCCTGGGACTCACCCTTGGGCCTTTCTGAATCCTGACCACATCTCTCCTCCAGAAGGCCTCCCGGGTTGTCACTCTGGCTGTGGTCGCCATTTAAAAAGAGGCCACTGCCTGCATGCTTTTGCCCGCTACCGGTTTCCCCCACAGGGAGGCACCTGCCGATGATGCCCTGGGCCCTGCTCTGTCTCACCTTTGTCTCCACATGGTGCCCCAATGGGACAGGGCGACGTGCGTGCCCTGGTCCCTCTGGTTTCCCAGCCCCCCACCAGCCCCAGGCCCCGCTGGAGGCCGACACTCACCAGTGACCAGGGTGAAGTGGCAAGGACTGGTCATGGTGACGAAGGCCGGGGTCATGTAGCGGGCTTTCACGCCGTCCAGAGCCATGGCGTCCAGGTAGGGGGTCTCCACGTCCTGGTCGTAGTCCCAGCGGAAACCGTCGAAGGACACCAGGAGCAGCTTGTTCCGGGGGCCCTGCCGGCCCACAGGCCGCCCGGCCCCGGAAACCAGGAGGGCGGCCAGAGCCACAGCCAGGAGGATGGCCGAGGGTCTCATGACGGCGCCCCCAGTGGTACAAGCACCGGGCGCGGACCTGTAAGGAGCAGAGCAAAGTCCCAGGGTCATTCGGGGCCAGCCTTATCCTGGGTGTCTTGGAAAATGAGACTGTGCGCTTACCTGTGTCCCAGGGCCTGTCGCCCGCCCGTGCCACCTCTGGCCCGGCCCTCGCCTGGCACCTTCCTTTATTGATTGTGCTCCTCCCCTCGTGCACAGTCAATAAGGGCAGGCGCCAGGAGAGGGTGGGGCCAGAGGTGGCAGGGCTCCTGTAGGCTGGGAGAGGAGGAGGGGTCCGCCCCCTCGGGTGGCCTGGTGTGCACCCTGGCTCTGCGGCAACCCTCCGACCCTATGCCCTGCTCACTGCGACCCCGGTGCCCCTAATTCGGGTGGCCTTTGGGGTATGTGGGCCTCGGGCCTGCCTGGGCCAGGGTCCAGGAGCCGAGGGCCCGCAGCTCAGCCCGGGGTTGGCCTCGTCCGTGGAGCGCCCCAGCCCAGGGAGAGCCTCTTCCCACCCTTCCCTGGGGGCGAGCAGCCTCCTGGCGTGGGGCAGGCAGAACCACCCCCCCGGCTGGGCCTGTGCTGCTGCGCCTTCCTCCTTGGGCCCCAGGGGTCCTTGGAGAGGCTCACGGGTGTGGGCAGTCTCCTTGGCCAGCACGGGGGTCAGAAGAGGAGCTCCCTTGTCCCCTGTGCTCAGGGCCATCGGGCAGGTGTGGGAGGGACCCTGAGTTCAGTGCCCGTGCAGCTCTGTCTGTTACAACCTCTGTGCCTCCCTCTCTCCATCTCTGGGACTCGGTCTCCCCTTTACCAACCTTTTTGTAAAAGTTAAGTTGATTTGGGCGACATTGGTTAATCATTTTACCTGCCTTGTGAGGCCCGTTCGGTGGACCGGGCCCTGTGCTAAATTCTGGGGAACCCCGTGGTGGAGGAGACAGAACTGGCTGCTGACACACGCCCAACAAAACTGGCAAACAAGCGAGACAGTGAGAGAGAGGGTCACCCAAAGCAAACGCAGCAGGGACACTGGATGGGAGCCCGTGGGGCTGTGGGACCAGCACGTGATAGGTGGGGGCGGGGCCTCCCGAGAGGGCACCGGGCCAGAGGGAGATTCCGGGGTCGAGGCTGGGGTTCTGGGGTCAGGTGAGCTGGGGCAGCAGGGCGGGGCGTGGCGCGCCAGGGCCGTGGGGCACAGTCCCGCATACTTCGTTCTGGGGGCTTTTCTGTGGGGCAGTGGCACCGACTGATCGGACAGTTAAAAGACTCGCTGCCCTGTTTGTAGGCTGAGGGAGGTCGGCAGGAGGCAGGAATGGATGTTGGGTGCTGGGCGGGGAGGTGACTGCTGCTGTCCCTGTGGGAGGCGCTGGTGGCCTGGACCAGGGTGGGGGCTGTGGGAGTGGCAGTGGGGAAGGGAATTTGGGGACATCCCCCAGATCGCTCCTGGGGGAGACGGGAAAGGAACAACCCAGGGGGACGTCCAATTCTCGCCTGAGCAGCAGCTGGGCGATGGTGTCCCCCAAAGATCGGGAGGTCAGAGGGGAGGCCACCGGAGGAGTGGGGACTGGAGGAGGGGCGTGCTCCAGCCTGAGACCTGGAGGCGGGTTATGGAGAAGGCTGGGTTTTATACTTGTAAAATCTAATATCTAGGTTAAAATAAAATTTAACCTAACTTAAAATGTACTATCTTTGAAGCAAGATGGCGGCCAGCAGTAAAGACTACATTTCCCAGCATTCCCCACAGCGAGGCCCGGCCGTGTGGCCACACCCTGGCCAATGGGCCCAAAGAAAAATGTCACGTGGCAACCGCCTCCTCCATTCCCCGGCTTTGCCGCCCGGAGCTCAGGGGCTCCTTTTCCCACCGCCCCGTCCCTCCCCCCCGTACGCCCCCGTCCCCGGCGCAGGGCGAAGGCCCTTAGAAGAGCCTAGGACAGCTCGGCCCTGCCGCAGTCCCGCGGGGACAGTCAGCAAAGTGTTGGGGTCTGCGTCGCTCTCAGCGGGACGCAGGCAGAAGCGACCAGAGGAGGATGGCTGCTGGGTTTTGGCGGGAGGGGCTGGGCCTGCCGGCTGCTGCGAGGGCACCAGGGACCCCGGGGACGAGGGAGGGGCGGCCCGGTGGTCCAGGGCCGAGGCGGAGCTGGTCTTGGGCAGGTGCGTGTGGAGCGTGGTGAGGAGCCCGATTCTGTCCCCGCCCTGCCCCTTCGGGGCCATCGGACCTGGGGATGGCTCCTGCTCACCCTCCCACCGGCCCAGGTCCGGCCTGGGCCGCAGCGAACGTCTGCCCCCGGCTCTCCTCGGGGCTCCTTAGCTCAGCTGCCATCAGGTCCCTTTTCCCCCCGGTGCCAACGCCGGCTTTACCCACGATCGCCTGCCAGCAGGAGCTCTTGAAGGCAGGAGTTCGTGACACCCTCCCCACACGCGTGGGGAGCCTGAGGCAGGGAGCCGTGGACAGTCACCCAGTCAGTGGAGGAGCCGGGAGAACATGAACCCAGGCGCCGGTTTTTCACTTGGAACCACGTCTAGATGCCCTGAGTTTACCACCACTTAGGATCCGATGGTGGACTTTGGGGCTGTGGGGTGTTTTTTCCTCTTGTTACTAGTGCGGCTGTGGGAATCTCGGTGCTACTGGCTGTTTCCTTTTACACGCAGTTTATTTCCTTGGGACTCACACCTGGAGAGGTATATCCCCACCATCAGCCTGCTCCCGGGAGTGGTCCAGGCGGGTGATTGTCCTGTGCTTCCTCCGCCCACTACCTTCATTAGGTTTTACTTTTTTATATTCCTTTTGGATGGCCTAGTTGGCGTGCAGTGAGATTCTGAAGTATCAAGTCAGAGCGGCGAGGAGGTTTCCCTGTCCCGACTTCCTCTCCCGGTCCTCGCCACAGACGCTCATCCCCTCCTGTGAGGGGTGGGGGGTCCCCGCTCCGCCGGCCCTTCCCAGACTTCGCTGTGTGTGGTTTTGGAGGTCTGTGTCTGGCACCTATTTTCTCTAGACTCTCATCGAGTGTGTTTGCCCTCGTGGCTTTCTGCACTCTCCTGCACGCTGGCCACCCTTCGGGGGGAAGGCCTCCTTGAGCCCCCGGGGCCGCTCGCTGCTGACCCCCGAGCCCAGTGCAGTGCCAGTCCACAGCGTGCGCTCGGCCCAGGTGGTCAGTGAATGAATACATAGAGGGGACATTTCTGCAAATATCTGTGGTACTTCCTGATTAGGCAAAATATTAAAAAAACAAGCCATGTCAGAACAGCGTCAGGTTCAGGGATAAGCTGCGAAGGCAGAGAGTTCCCGTGTGACCCAGGCCACGTGGACAACACCGGACCATGAGCCCAGCAGGCACACAGAGCACGAGCCACCGCCCGTGAGTGAGCATCAGCTCAGATCTCCTCGCTGCGCAGGCCACTGTCCTTGCTCGGTTTGGGATCCTCATTCCGCCGAGTCACTGAGTCTCCTTGTGTTCTTCTTGGCTCCGCGACCTTTTCCCAGAGTGGCCTTGTTTTGGCGACACGGGCAGTTTGGAGGAGTGGTGGCCAGGCATGTGGCACGCTGTCCCTCGGTTGGGATTATCTGATGGCTTTCTCTTGATCAGTCTGGGGTCCTTGCGGGACACCCTCCCCCGGATCAGGCACCCTTTCATCACAGCCCAACAGGGCACCAGCCATCACTGTGGCTCGTCACCCGGTCCCCTGGCCTAGGTGACAGCTGCCATTGTTCTACCCTGTAACGTCCCTGTCCCGACCTCCCAGTCCACACTCTGCTTTTCAGAAGGCAGGTCCATGCCTGGAGAGGGCACGGTCCTGCTGCACGTCCTGGGGGCAGAGCCCGCGTGGGAACCGTTTGGAACTGGTCAGGGGACGGGCGTCTCCTCCACGTCTGTGGGCCTGCTCAGTCACATCCGTCCATCAGGACGGACTCAGGGCTGTGGGTTGTGTGCCTGGGGCAGCAGCCCAGCACTTTATCTTGTGGCTCAAGCTGCCTCGCCTCGGCTGCCGGGGGCTCTCGGGGGCTCCTGCATCCCCTTCACGCTGCCTCAGCGTTTGGTTCCCTGCTTCCTGGCGCTTCAGGACACTCCAGGCTCTTCTCGTCCACTCTCTGCCCCAGTCGGCCCTTCCCCAGGGAGCTCTGGGTCCTTCCGTTGGAGATCCTAGGGACCAGGAGCTGGGTGCTGGGTGTGTTCCTTGACACTGGGGTGCTGGTGACATGCGTGCAAGTCATCACTTCAGCTGTGCCTGAAGCCATGGGCTCCCCAGCTGAGTTGGGGACGTGCAGCCCGAGGCAGCGCCGGCCCCTCCCTGGGGCAGTGTCCCAGGCACTGGGTGGTTCAGGTCCCAAGGCTAGGGTTAGGGCTAGGGTTAGGGTGGGAAGCACTCAGCTGCTCGCTTGCTGCTTTTCCCGCTCAGGGTCCTCAGGGCCCTGCAGGACGGGACCCAGAGGCCTCCTCGGCCCTGGCAGCGTGTACAGGGACCCATGAGTGATGCGGCTGAGCCGTGCACGGGGCTCAGGCTGCAAAGACCCGGCCTGCCCAGCCCCGTGCTGGTTTCTGCTGGGGACAGGGACGTGCCAGGCACTGTCCCCCTTAAGGCCAGCCTCCCTGTCAGTGCCACTGTTCTCACTCATAGCCTGGTACGAACAGATGCCACGCACAGGTTTCCGTGTCTCCCATGAGGCTGGGAGTGGCACTGTATCTTCATCTCCAGGCACAGGGCCCTGCGCACAGTAGGCGGTTTACTGATCCCTGAATGCCCGGATGAAAGCCTGTGTGGGTGGCATCAGCAGGGCCTGGGCACGGCCGTGCCCCCGACTGACCTGGCCTCTCCTTCTATATGCAGCAGCGACATCTCCCTGCGCCCCCCTCCCCCACTCTCAGTGCAGCCCTGGGCCGGATGCCCTGGGGAGGCCAGTGGGGGGAGCTCCTGCCACAGGCTGCCCCGAGGATGGCGGTTCCTCCCAAAGGGCCACTGTGGGGACAGCAGGGATGACAGACTCAGCCTCCCCCTGCTCTCTCCTGGAGGGGTCTCCTAACCCCTCCAGGAGACCCCCGCCCCCACCCCGGGTCCTCTGAGGCTGGCACCCGCCTGCTGGTGGCTGACCGGTGACTGGGGCCTGGCGTGGCCTTCGAGACAGCAGGTTTTAGTAGCACGAGGTCTGCTTATCAGCTGCCCTGGACTTTCAGTTCTTCTCAGGGGCTTTATCTTCACAGCCACCTC